CCAGACAGCCGTGCTGCCCATGTGGTGGCGCGGCACAATTTGTTTTTAAAATTATTTTTGTGTGTGCATATGCACATATGCGCATGCACAAATCACGGCTCCTGCTTGGGTGCAGGGTTTCCCCCTGAACAGCGAACAAAATGAACTACCGACATGTAACCGAGCGCTGTTTTATGTGCGCTTGAGCGTTCATGCATTTAATATATTCAGTGCAGGATTGGTCATGCATACAATGGTGAAAGCCGGAAAAAAAACTACTGCAAGAAAGATGTACAGATGACCTAACTGTCCAGATAGGAGAAATTGCGGATTCACAGCACAAGTAGTAGGAAAGTACTTGATTTCTCCCGTGTCGGAAAACCAGGAGGATTGCAGGAGTGAGTCCGCTTCGATACGGGAGATAGAATCAGCTGTCTGGTCAGCCCTTTTAAATGCAATAGGGAACAGTTCTGAGACCCGATCAAAATGACTGCGTGACCATGATCTCCCAGTGTCAGAAAACGCGCTAGAAAACCGGGAGAATTGCGGGGGTGAGCCCGCTTCGATACGGGAGACAGAATCAGCTGTCTGATCAGCCCTTTTAAATGTGATAGGGAAGAGTTCTGAAACCCGATCAAAATGACCGTGTGACCACAAACTAATTCATAGGGAAGGTGCTCCAGTTCTGCCTCCACTATCTATATATCCAATGAGGTGTCCATGTTCTGAATGGGGGCAATATTGCAATCTCAAAAAAGATTTTGCTTCTTTGATAAGAATGAGATGTCCAAGAAAGGGTACAAAGGATGGATAATGGTTGGCAGATATGAATAATTAATATTCTCTGGAAATATCTCTGGGCATAGTTACACACCATCCAGTCATCATTTTTCCTGAAATCTTATTGCATATTTAAAAAAAATCATAAAGTTGGAAGGGGCCGTACAGGCCACCTAGTCCAGCCTCCTGCTCATTGCAGTATCATCCTAAAGAATTTCAGAAATGGCATTGCCAACTATGTGACAGTGGAGAAGAGTACATTTTTAGACTCTTAAAAAAAAGAAGCTTTTTACACTTTGAGCTTTGTGGGCATTCTTCCTCATTAAGCTGAAAGGGGAAGCTTTCAGATGCAGGAGAGTTCTGTGCACTGGGCTCCTGGTGTATGCGTGCAAAAGGAACCCCTGGATTATGGCGAAGGGATAGCTGACAGTGCGGAAATGCAGCTGGTTAAAACATGACAGCAGATGCACAGCTGAAAAAAATGCAGCTGGACAAAAGGTATTTCTTAGGTTGTTTTGTTTCCTTCACAGCTGTGATCCAGAAATGGTCAAACAGGTGGAAACTCTCAACCAGTCACAAACGGGGATTTAATATTTTTAGAAAAAGTAAAATGAGGAAGGGAAAAAGATCTTCGTTTTGAAAGGAATGTGGTTTTAAATAAAATGGTGCACCTAGAATCCTTCTTAAAAGTTTTGTAGCAAAAAAAGTCTTTTCGCTTCACTTTGGTATCATGGAATGATTAATATATTAAACCACACCAAAATTTGATGTCATGTGAATAAACCTTTGTGAATAAACCCTTGAATGGTCAGAGTTAATGGATGACTGCTGCTTTTGCAAAAATTATAGTTGGAGTAGGGTTCCCATTCCCCCCCCCCTCCGTGGAGGCAGTGATCCTCCACCACCAGACCCCGGCCCCTGCCACTGATCAGCTGGCCAGCAGGGTGATTTACTAGTATAAAGAGGAAGGTCCAGCCAATGGCCATGTGGCAATGTCGGTTCTCGTATGCACAGGAAGTGGCGTCATCACCCCAGTGACATCTGGGTGATGCTCTAGTATTTGGGCAAAAACTCTTTGGTAGAAGCCATTTTTACCAGAGTTTTTACCGAAATACCAGAATGTTGCCACAATATTGCACTTCCAGTGGCCGCCAGCAGGGGTCATTTGGGGGGGACGCGGGGGGACGCCATCCCCCCGGGTGAGGTGTGGGTGGGCGGGGCCTGGAGCTCCCTGCTGGTGCCCGCTGGAGGTCGCCGCCGGCTGTGGGGAGGACACACTTCTGGTGATGTCAGGGGGTGTGGCATATGCTAATGAGTTATGCTAATGAGTCCCCCTAGCTCTTTTTCTACAAAATGACCCCTGGCCGCCAGAAGTGACATAGCCACATTGCTGGCAACATCGCCTCGGCCTCCCTCCCACCATGGTAATTCCCCCCCCCTCCCCAGCCAGTTGCCAGGAGGTACCTGGAAATCCTAAATTGGAGTTATTTCCAAAATGGCAAACTATGGTTTGGTTTCCCTCTCCAAACCAGGATAAAAATGAGGTTGGCAAACCTGGTTTGCAGCAGAAATGCTAATCACAGTAAGTTATGGCAAGTTCTCCAGCACAACTTGGTAGTTGACTCTAGTCATGTAAGGGGAGGGAGGAAAACATAACCACAGCACACCCATCTTTCTAAATCCCAACTCAGTATCTCAGAGTTACAGGACTTACAGGACTGTTGCAAGAACAATATTTATTTATTTATTTATTTAAAATATTTACATCCTGCCTTTTGTTGAAACTGGTATCAAAGCAACATACAATCAGTCACTAAAAATGTTAATAAAAGCACCAAACATTAACCCCTACCCTGGCCATCAAGTCAGTGACACCAGTAAAAACTCACCATTAAAAGCCCTCCCATACAAAATGATCTTGTACCTCATTTTGGAACACCTGAAAATAGGGAACTCCTCACCTCCTGTTGCAATGGTGCATGGAAGAACAGAAAAAAAGTAAGTAGAAACTGGCCTGAGGAGAATAACTGGGACGTGTGTTCATATGGGGAAACTTCTTCACATATGAGGGTCCAACACATCTTAAACTGAACTTGAAAACAAACAGGTAGCTATTGTCAGCACTTTATGACTGTTGTAACATACTTGTGCCTTCTAGCCTCCAGCAACAAAGGGACTACATGTTTTGTGCCAGTTGAAATTTCTGAGGGTATCCCCATATAAAGTCTTTGACTGAAGACCAGGCGAGGGATATAAAAACATGGATCGACATGATCAGATCAGTTGAATTTAACAGTTAACAAACCAGATATAACTACCACGAGGTGCTTCTGGTGGAGAGCAAGGGTTGGCAAATAATACTGTCTGTAAGGGAGGAGAAATCCCAGTGAAGTTAAGAAGCAAAGTTGCATCAAAAACCTGATGTGAAAAAGCCCACAATCTCATCCAGCAGCTTGATATACCTATTAACGAATATTTTTGACAACACTGAACCCTGAAGCACTCTGCAGATCAGGACCCAACCTGCTAATTCAGACTCCGTCTCAGTCACACACTAAGTATGTACAGTATGATATCTGCACATAATCATAGTCATGTGTTTCTGAAGTGATGGGCTTAGGGCTGCTGAGGCCCAACTGGGGGGGGGGTCCCCCAATACCGTTTCCCATTTCCTGCTGTTGCTCCAAAGGTGATGGGAGAAAAATAAACAAAAAAATGGCCATTATGCCGATGGCGTGTCCTCATTTCTGGGGAAACCTGGAAGTGATATCAGTCCTCCCTAGGAATCACTGGAAATTCTATGATTTTACCCCCCGTGTTCCCACTCACTCCTGATCTCCGATTGCATGTAAATTAACTATGTGCTAAATGTAAAACGCCAACTTTTGCCTTCCCTCTCCAACTTATGTGTACAGTAGTTGTCACTGGCAGGCATGAGCTTGGGGGGGGGGGTCAACAGTGGGAGGTCTTCTAATGTCCTGGCCCCACTGGTGGACCTCCTGATGGCACCTGGTATTTCTGGCCACTGTGTGATGTAGAGTGTTGGACTGGATGGGCCTTTGGCCTGATCCAACATTGGCGTCTCTTATGTTCTTAAATCTTAGAAGCCATGTATTGGAATATGGTATATGATCTGCTATCCTAGGAAAAGTGAATTGGTTATGATAATACTAAGTGTACTTCTATTTTACTCTCAGGGCATCATAAGACTGTGGGGTAGGATTCAAAACTGTGGTGGAAAAGGTGGGTGGGTGGGTGGGTGGGTGAGGGGGGGAGATAGCAATTAATTAGTGCCGGGAGTTTCTAACATAGGAGTTTCCTAAATTTCACCTGCCTGGAGATCACTTCCTCCAACCTAGAAGTTATTTCCTAGTACCATGTACTTACATGTGCATGGTTACTTTGTAGTGATGGAAAGGCACTCGGTCCTTGTGCAGTGTTTTTGCTTGTTTCTGCATTCAGAGAAGGGATTATTCTAGGCCCACATTTATTTAGATCTTATGAAAACTCTGTTTTTCTGTAGTGATAGGTGGTAGAGCTTTAGACACCTTGGATATTATGCCTCCTCAACTCTTTGGTCTTTTGTAGTAGAATATTTTTTCCTGTTCTGTAAGACTGCCAGGTCCCTCCTGACAAATGGTGTGTGGAGAGGACTTACCAGGTGGTAGGGGCCCATACGAGCAGTACATTGATGTTTCCAGTGACACCCTGATGTAACCTTCTGTGTACACAGTTTTGCCCAAATGCCAGAGCATCCTTGGTGTTCCCCAGCAATGCACTGATGTCACTTTGGAGAGTACCAGGAGCGATATTAGTGCATTGGGACACTGCTGATGTGCCCCTATTTTGGTGCCATTTCCCCCCTTCCAGCCAGCTGAGTGGTGGTGGGAAGCACCCGCTGGGGCTGGGAGGGTTAGCAATCGTTTATGAGAGGTTTTGGAGTTTAAATCTGCCTAGGCATTATGCCACTGTAGGCCTAAGATTTGGGGGGAGATGAGGACAGGAGCTTGACAGTGCTATTCAGAAGTGAATAAAATGCATTCTGCACATACTCAGAGCCATCCATTCTTTCACACAGGCAAGTTTCAGCAATTAGAGATGCCAGGGATTGAAAATGGGACCTTCTGTATGCCAAGCAGATGACCTACCACTGAGCCATGCCCCCCCATGACATGAGGGCACCCTTGTGACCAACATGGGGCTGCAGCTGCCATTTTAAGGTGATCAGCCCCACAGCATGGTGCTCTTGTCCCCCCCCAATTCTGAAACACCAGTGGGGGTCATTTTGGCACTTGATAAGGCACAGGGGATGTCTCAATCTGCTGCTCTGCGCTCTTAAGGCATATTTGAATTACTTTAAAATGGTAACAGCATCCCCATAGCAGCCATGAGGATGCTGTCATGTCTAGTTCGGCCCTAAATGATTATTTACTGTGGTTTAGACCCTATTTTTCTGCTTGTGGAAAGCACTTCTCAATGCAGAAAAAGAGGGTGATCTTTGGCATCTCACTGCAGATTCCCAATTCAACCCCACCCCCCACTCCCAGAGCAGAATTTAATGGGCATGACAGATTTCTGTGAGGGGGGCAGGTCAGGAAATTCCCTTCTGTGAGCACTTCAAGTCACTGTTCCAGGTACTTGAATACTTAGTACTGTTTTACTTGGACAGTTCATAAAGCAGTTTAAGTTTATGGCATAGGTATGCACTCAACGACTCTAAAACTTATATTGATAAACCAGTTCCTCATTAATGCAAAGCATGTGCTTACATTACTCCAGATTTTATTAAATATATACATGTTATTAATATTTAAACAATTAGGTATATTTTCCAAGATCTGTAAACTTCTCTCTCTAGCCATGGAGAGGTTTAGCAGAGCCTGAATTAATGCTAGTTTAAAAGTTGTAAGCTAAGGTAGTCTCCAAAGGTAAAACAGTACTGCCTGTGAAGGACCACAAACTGTATTAGTTGCCTATTTTAATTACAGCACAATAAAATGTTTTCTGAAAATAATATACATTTTAAAAAACCTCTTACTATGTCCAGCTTGATGGGTGGAAGCAAAAAATTCAGTAGAAATCTGAAAGCTGAAGAAGGAAATTCGTACCAGAAACATTGGACATTTAAAAGCCTCAACACGACAAGGCTGTGGACATGGAAAGCATAGTAAAAGATGCACTCAGCAGTTCTGCCAAGTCCAACCAATGTGTCTTTATGGCTTGGCTTTTCAGGCTTCCAAGATCTATGTTCAAAGATAGTGCTTTCTCTCTATGCCTCCCCTTCCCATCACCTCTCCGCTAAACTGGTATGTCAACTTCTTCTTGACTTTTTTGACTTCCCCGGTCTTGCCGTAGTTTCTCAATGCCCGTGCCATCTTTTGGTAGGTCATTTTCTTGCGGTTGCCTTTCTGGATGCCCCAACGGTGAGCCAATGCCTCTTTGTGTTTGGAGGAGAACTGGAAAGTGCCTTTCTCCTTGTCCACCCACCAGATGCTATCTTTCATATCTCCACTCCGAAGCAAGTCCAGAAGAAACTGGTACAGTCGAATTTTCTTCTTACTCCCTGTGGGAAGAAGAAGAGAAAGAAATGGTGAGGCCCCTTACTGGGAAAGGATCTGTACTCCCCAGGTACAGAGTGGGGGATAGGAAATGTCTACTTGTCACCAATGATAGCCGCTTCCTAAATTGTTCAAGGCAGTTAGATAACATATATAGCTATATTATGTATTTGCTTGTTCAATTTACATCCTGCTCTCTACCATTTTGACATACATAACATTCCTATGTCACAGGAACACTGGATGCTGGTGGTAATAACTAAGTTGGGATGAATAGATGAAGACTTTTAAAAGTGCTGACATTTTTAATGTTAAAATAATAATTTTAATGAGTTAAAGGTAAAGGAGATGGAAGTGCAAAGATCAAACTTAACCTCCTACATCATAATTTAAACAACCTGTTAAATTACGAAATAGAAAAGAGAATAGAATACACCAAACAATACTACTTTGAAAATTTAAACAAACCCAACAGATGGTTAGCTTATAAAATAAAGAAAGAAAGAGAGAAGCGCACCATTATTAAACTAAGAAATGATAATAACGAAGAAAAGTTTAACACACAAGACCTAAAAAAGATAGTGGAAAAATTCTATATGAAATTATATCAGCAGGCCCAAGATAGTAGAAGTGAAACCGCAGAATACCTTAAATACAGAATTCAAAAATTTAACATCCAACAGAAAAAAACTCTGAATGATCCAATAACCCTAAATGAAATTATGGAGGCAATTAGAAGACAAAAAAGGAAAAAAACTCCAGGTCCTGACGGAATACCGGCAGAATTTTACCAAACTTTTGAAGAACAGTTATGGACACCACTTAAAGAACTTTGCCAAAGAGTAGGTAAAAACATGAAGATACCTGATTCCTGGAATCATGCTTTAATATCATTAATCCCAAAACCAAATACAGATAAGACCGATATTAAAAACTACAGACCCATATCACTCCTCAACGTCGACTACAAAATTTTTACATCAATACTAGCTGGAAGACTAAAAAAAGTTTTGACACAGATGATCCACCAAGACCAAACCGGATTTCTACCCAAAAGGCAAATGAGAAATAATATAAGAATCATTATGAATGTATTAGAATACTATGAAGAACATCCTGAAAAAGAATTAATGCTAATGTTCCTGGACGCGGAAAAGGCGTTTGACAACCTGTCATGGGACTTTC